CTTCCTCCATCACCTGTGCAATCAAGCCTCCTGCTTGCTCCAGCTCCGTGGCTACCGGCCGCCATATTGGTTGGGTTAATTTGCATATAGCCACTGATTGGCTGGTGGGCGTGGCTTAGGGCATAGCGAAGGTATGGTCAATTAGCATCTTTGTCTTTTATTAGTGTAGATATGTTTTTATTGATTTCAGAGAGGAAGGGAGACGGAGAGAGAGAGATAGAAACATCAATGATGAGAGAGAATCATGGATTGGCTGCCTCCTGCACACCCCCTATGGGGATTGAGCCCACAACCCAGGCATGTGCCCTTGGCTGGAATCAAACCTGGGACCCTTCAGTCTGCAGGCCGATGCTCTATCCATTCAGCCAAACCGGCTAGGGCACACTGTACACTTTAAATGGGTGAGTCGAGCCCTAGCCGGTTTGGCTCAGTGGATAGAGCGTCGGCCTGTGGACTGAAGGGTCCCAGGTTCAATTCCGGTCGAGGGCACATGCCCGGGTTGTGGGCTCGGTCCCCAGTGGGGGTGTGTGAGGGAGGCAGCCGATCGACGCTTCAATCTCAGCATTGATGTTTCTCTCCCTCCTTCTCCCTTCCTCTCTGAAATCAATAAACATGTATTCTAAATAATTAAATATATAAATGGGTGAGTTCTATGTCCTGTGACTTACATCTCAATAAAACTGTTTTAAAGAAAGCAGAAAACAAAACACAAACGAGCAAACAGGAAGGACCCCCTGCGTAGGTCAGACTCCGTCCGCGCAGGGCCTGAGGGGGTCAGGAGAGACTGTGTGTCCCCTGGGGCTGTGCTCACCTGCACTCTCCGTGTGGCAGGTCACGGAGGCAGCTGGGGCCCTCAGTCCGTCCCAGATGGTCTTGACCGTGGCTGCGTAGGACTGAGCGGGCTGGAGGTTGGACACAGATAAGCCCTTCCCGCAGGAGGCTCGGTCCCCGGAGACCTGCTGCCCGCCCACGTGCAGCTCAAAGGCCTCATAGCCGCCCCGGGGGCAGGTCCAGGTCAGGGTGACCCCATAGCCACCAGAGATGCTGTTGCAGGAGATGCTGGTGACGGGGTCCGGGTCTGGGAGGCGGAGACAAGAGGACTCGGTAGGTGCCAGCCAAGATGGTGTTCCCCCGACCCCCTCCCGCTTCACCACCAGTGATGCCAATTCTGTGACCGCGACAAGGAGCCCATCCTTCCCTTCCCCAAACCCAAATACTTCTTCATCCCTTGTTTCTAAATTCCCAAAGGGACTCCCAACAGGTCCCAACAAACTACAACTCCCATGAGCACCCTAACTCTCTGGATCACTGCAGCTTATAGAGTCAGGGCCCCATGGCCTGATGGGATTTGTAGTCCACTCTCTTCTCTTCCACAAACTTCCCCTCCCCACCCCCCGAAAAGGGGTAAAAGGGGGCTCATCTCACCTGTGGATGCGCGGAGGCTCTGTGTGGAACTGGCTACATCGCTCCTCTCCGCCCACACGTTGAAGTTGTATGGAGTCCCGGGTTCCAGGCCCTTCACCACATACCAAGTGTCTTTGGTCCTGGCTATCTGGTCGACCTGGTGTGCTTGGGGGTCTCTTTCCCCCTGGGGAGGTCCCCCACCGGCCCACCGGACACAGTATATGTAGAGCTGATAGCGGGGGTCTGCCGGGGCCTTCCACTGCAGGGCGATTGAGTTGTTGGTCTGCGTTTCATTCCGCAGAGCTGTGACCTCCTTAGGAGCTGAGAATTGAGACAGACAACTCAAGGGGCAGACTCCAAGGCCCCTCACACCGAGTCTGCTCACCTCCCCTTCCCTGCAGCTGCCCCCACCATCGGATCGCATACTTCCCAAGAGGTGGGGACCATGGTCGCTGGGTCCTCTCTGTCCTAAGTCCACATACCTGGGTCCCACTCACCACCCTTCCACACACAACAAGTTCCTGGACGTTTCTGTTGACGTCAGTCTTCTTAGCCCAAATGGCCAAAGACTGAAGAGTTCCGGGTCCCGTGCATCAGCAGTGCACCTAGTCCCTGGGGTCATTCTGCTGCCTCTCACTCTCGGGACCCACACCTGCCGGCTGGGAGGCGGGGCCCGGGTGGACCCAACAGTTCACCAGGACAAGCTGTGGGCGACCGTCTAGCTCAGCGGTTCTCAACCTGTGGGTCGCGACCCCTTTGGCGGTCGAACGGCCCTTTCACAGGGGTCGCCTAAGACCATCCTGCATATCAGATATTTACATGACAATTCATCACAGTAGCAACATGACAGCGATGAAGTAGCAACGACAATAATTTTATGGTTGGGTCACAACGTGAGGAACTGTATTTAAAGGGCCAGAAGGTTGAGAACCACTGATAGCTGGTGACTGTACTGATTCCTGGACAGCCAGGGGCTCTCTTTGTCCTCAAAGACGGACCCTCCAATTGGAAAACCCGGGTTGTTCAGGACAGACACCCCCTGGGAGGCAGACCTACAGGCTCAAGGTCTGATGAGGCTGGTGAGGGCTGGCCGAGCACAGTTCTTCTCCCAGGAACCTTGCACCATGCCCCCTTCACTCTCCCCCAGCCCAGTATGCTGGGCCCGGACCTAGCCTGGGTCTCACCTGTGGCCCACATGAGGGTCTCTTTGCTGCTGCTGACCCCGTTCCTCTCCGCCCACACGGTGAAGGTGTACAGGGTCCCAGCTTCCATTGCGTCCACTGTGATCCTGGTATCCGTGGTGTTCCGGGTCCCAGTGGCAACCCCGCCCTCCATGGTCCAGGAGACCCAGTAGGTGTAGGGAGGGTGATCCGGGCCCTGGGGAGCTGTCCAGCTCAGGGTGATGGAGCTGGTGGTCTGGTCCTGGACCTGGAGATTTCTCACCGCATTGGGGACTGGCAGAAGGAACAGAGGGAAAGTCAGGCTTCCTCATCCCTCGTCCGCAAGATCCGGACACAGTCATGTTCCTGCTCCCTGTGCAGCCCAGCTTATTAGGAAATACTTCCTGGCCCTGGCTGGGTAGCTTAGTGGGTTCGAGTGTTGTCTCAATATGTTAAGATTGGAGTCCGATCCCCGGTCAGGGCACATACAAGAATCAACCAATGAACGCATCCAGGGGGACAACAAATCAGTATTTCTGTTTCTTTCTCTCACTGCCCACCCCACCCCCACCCCACCCCCACCGCCCAGCAGGCGTGGCTTGGTGGTTGAGCATCCACGTATAACCAGGAGGTCCCGGTTCCATTCCCGGTCAGGGCACATGCCCAGGTGCGAGGCTTGATCCCTGGTGTGGGGTGTGTAGGAGGCAGCCAATTGATGATTCGCTCTCATCATGGTCTTAGGTGACCCCTGTGAAAGGGCCGTTCGACCGCCAAAGGGGTGGCGACCCACAGGTTGAGAACCGCTGGTCTAGCTGGTGACTTTACAGATTCCTGGACAGCCAGGGGCTCTCTTCCTCCCCAAAGACAGACCCTCCAATCAGAAAACCCGGTCGCTGAGGACAGACACCCCCTAGGACAGTGGTCGGCAAACTCATTAGTCAACAGAGCCAAATATCAACAGTACAACGATTGAAATTTCTTTTGAGAGCCAAATTTTTTAAACTTAAACTATATAGGTAGGCACATTGTTATGAACTTAATTAGGGTACTACTAAGGCTTAGGAAGAGTCACACTCAAGGGGCCAAAGAGCCGCATGTGGCTCTCGAGCCGCAGTTTGCCGACCACGGCCTTAGGAGGCAGACCTACAAGCTCAAGGTCTGATGAGACCGGTGAGGGGTCGCCAAGCACAGTTCGTCTCCCAGGAACCTTGCTCCATGCCCCCATCACTCTCCCCCAGCCCAGTATGCTGGGCCCGGACCTAGACGGGGTCTCACCTGTGGCCCCTGTGCAGGTCTCTTTGCTGCTGTTGACTCCGTTCCTCTCCGCCCACACGGTGAAGGTGTACAGGGTCCCAGCTTCCATTGCGTCCACTGTGACCCTGGTATCTCGGGTGTTCCGGGTCCCAGTGGCAACCCCGCCCTCCATGGTCCAGGAGACCCAGTAGGTGTAGGAAGAGTGATCCGGGCCCTGGGGCGTCCCCCAGCGCAGGCTGATGGAGCTGGTGGTCTGACTCTCCACGGTCAGGTCCCTGACGGGGTTGGGGGCTGAGATGGCAGGAGGAAGGCTCAGTGTCCGCAGGGGAGCCGGTCATCGCTGACCCTCCCAGTTCCCACTGTGGCCCCCCGGCCCCACCCTGGGTGCTAAACAGAGACACCCTCCTGGCCCTCCCACTAGCATGATGGTCTAGAAAGCTCCCCAGCCCTAACTCAGGGGCAGGAGGACCCAGGGACAACCCTGGGCTGTGGCCGGCTCTCCTGGAGCCCGGCTGCAGGTCCGGCCCACAGAGGCCCAATGACCTGCCGGCTGCCCTGGGCTGGCCCTGCTCCCACTGGGTCCCAGCTGCCTCCTCCCACCCCCAGGGGGGAACCCAGCCATCAGACGGGGTGCGGCTGACCTGTGGAGCCGTCCTGGGTCTGCACGGAACTGGGGACTCCGTGCTTCTCCGCCCACACGGAGAACAGGTAGGAGGTTGCCGGCGTGAGTCCCTCCGCCGTGTACGTGACGTCTGTCGTGTTCCGGGTCTCCTTCTTGCCATCGTCTCCCGTGCACTGGACCCAGTAGGTGTAGTTCTGAAGGTCTGGGGCCTCCCAGCGCAGGGTGATGGAGATGTTGGTCTGACTCTCCACGGTCAGTTTGCTGATGGGGTTGGGGGCTGAGGAGGGGACAGGAGAGGGAATCAGCTGTGGACTCTGGGCCCACATGTCCAGGCCTTCCTTCCCCGCTGGGCCCAGGAAGCCTGGGGCGGTGGCTAGACCTTCAAGTCCAAATGGCAGCCATGCCCGGCCAGCGTGGCTCAGTGGTTGAGCGTCCACCTATGAACCAGGAGATCACGGTTCGCTTCCCGGTCGGGGCACCTGCCCAGGTGCCAGGCTTGATCTCTGGTGTGGGGTGTGTAGGAGGCAGCCAATCGATTATTCGATCTCATCATGGTCTTAGGCGACCCCTGTGAAAGGGTCGTGCGACCGCCAAAGGGGTCGCGACCCACAGGTTGAGAACCGCTGGTCTAGACCCTGACAACAGCTGGGAGCTAGGAGAGCCGAGGGTCCGGGTGTCCACAGGCCACAGTACCCCCCGCCCCCCGCTCCAGAGCGGAGGGAACATGCCTCTGCCCCCACCCACCGTGGCTGCTGAGGAAGACACTCCCCGGCCTGGTTTGGGCTTTAATTCTCACACCCGGACTGATCCCAGCTCAGAACCCCATGATGTTCTTTATATATATATTTTATTGATTTTAGAGAGAAAGGGAGAGGGAGAGGGAGAGAGAGAGAGAGAGAGAGAGAGAGAGAGAGAAACATCAATGATGGGGCAGAATCATTGATCGGCTGCCTCCTGCACGCCCCCCACTGGAAATCGAGCCCGCAACCTGGGCCTGTGCCCTGGGCTGGAATCGAACCTGGGACCCTTCAGTCCCCAGGCCGACGCTCTATCCATTGAGCCAAACCAGCCAGGGCCCCATGGATGTTCTTTCTTCATCTCCTGCTCAGCATGACCCAGAGAGACTCGGGGCTAG